CCTAATAAATTAATTCAGCAGTGGAAAATAAACGAATCCTGAGTCTGAGTAATTAATTTATGAATTTCTATAGTTGCATCGCAAAGTTGAAACTGTAGGCAACATTCTTTTGCCATTTCTTAGAATAATTTGATGCTAATTAATTTGTTATTCATAATTAATGAAAGGCGTACGTGATTTCGTACCAACAACCATGATCTTTTGAGAAAATATTAAATAATGGACAAAACTAGAAGTACAATGTGAACGAAAATGTATGAGAAGATGTCCAAGGATATCCCTTTTATAATACGTGCATGGAACTTATGAATTGATTGTATAAAGAATAATAATTATTGTCAAACGATCAATGCTTTCGGTATCAGTGCAATAATTATTACAAAATAATTAATTAAAAAGGGAATTAATTTATCCAGAATTACCAAAGGGGTCAAATGCATAAAAGAAATAAATATGTATAATTACCTTCCTATCTGAATGAAATCAATAATAACTTTTGATAGAACAACTATAAATTTGCAATATCTTATGCATGAGCCACTTTAGTAATTCCAGTATTGAAATGAACAAAACTCTTAGTACAAAGCTTATGCTGTATCATTTATTCAATTATATTGTCAACACAAATCTTAATCTGTAATATTCATTGCGTAATTCTTACAGAGTTTACTTTCCTTGAAACGAATCTGCAAACAAAACTGCTCTATTACTCTCAGATGTCGAAGAATATTAGTTTCTTAAAAAACGTGTAATTCATATGTTAGATCATTCTCCTACTCACTTTGTATATGCCGTTGAATTCATTGCTGTTGCAGAACTTTTTTTCTGTAGGTAAGTTGCAAAGTATGCGGCCTCCATCCATAATTTCTTTTCCATTCCAGTTGTACAGGAGTGCTCGTATCTTATCCAATGATTTTAGATTGAGTCTTTCCTTTCAGTTGAGGTGTATACAGTGTCGTATAATCTAGTATAATTACTTTCTGTCTGCACCAATTATTGAATTCTCGACTGCTAAACCCTCCACCCTCCATTATCGCATCTAAGTCTGTGTGTTATTCTGCTTTGCTTCTGCTGCTACAACATACTTGAACAATCCCTGTAATGCTTCAGTATATGATTCCATAAAATATATCAGTACAAAATTAGTAAAATCTAAGACTGCCATCGCATACCTATTTCTGTTCCATGCCTCTGGTTCTATAGGCCCACACATATATCATAATGTATAATTTCTAGCTGTCTTTTTACCCTTGTTCTTAGCTCTGCTAATAGTGTCTTCAATTGCTATTCATAAAAAAAATATTCTGCATTCTCCAATGCTTGCCTTTTGTATTCTTTTTGTTACTTCCATTCCCAATGCTTTCTTGGATAACTCTTTCATGTTCTGCATACATAGATGGTCCAATTTTCTGTGCCTCTCTACCAGCTTCTTGTTCCTCTCTACTAGTATAAAGTCCATTATTACACATATGCTCTACGAATATTTCTTCTTCGTTTTTATGATCTATTACTTCATATTGCGTGAACATTACTTCACTTCCATCTCCAGTTATCAGATTTACTGACAATAAACTCTGTATCAAGTGTGGAACACAAACAATATTCAAGTATCTGGTTCTATTCTACCTTTCGCTTTAGCTTCCATGGAAATATTTCTTTACATTGATCCAAATTCTACTCTTATTTCTTTCTATTTTTTCAAATATTCTAGTTTATCAACCATATGGCTCGCTGTTCTGGAGTCCAAAATCCATTATTCTGTTTCATTGTTCTCTGTCAAGAAGCGTGTGTTCTTTTCTTTGCCTTGGTCTCCTTTTCTTTCCTTTATGTTTTCAAAATAACAGTCCAAATTCCTTTTTCCAAATAATTGAACTTCTTACATGTCCCACATGAAGAGTATACTTCTTTTGCCTCGGCTTCTCTTCTTAATCCTAGAAATTTTACTGATTTTTA